CTACATCGCATGCTTACCGATAGCACGAGAGAGTTCGTCAGCTCTTGCCGTACACGCGTATAGCAACCGTACCAGCATCGCTCTACGGTGGCACCGTTTTATCTCGTTTACTGGTCATGGTCGGCTTAGAATTTCGATACGATGTTGTGCTCTCGGAATATGCGAGATAACGCGCGCCTCTTATCATCTGCTCATTGATACAGTTCGGGAAATTATTTGTGGACTATAGATAAAAATTCCGTGGCCGCGATCCGTCGGCAAATAAGGACAATTCCGGGGAGAACTGCATATCTTGGTTCAAAGAGACTCCGGAATCGCTTCCAGCGCGTCGTCTACGGACTCGGTAATCCGAGTCGAACGAAGTTAAATAGGCGAGAATGTCGCTGAGATTAGGACGGCCGGGCTTTGCCCTGCACCCCTTTTTTTTTTCTCCTGTCTTTCTCTGCCCTTTTTTCCTATCCCGGGACGCATCCCATCGGCTTGGAAAAGCAAATCACGACGAGAGGAAGTCTCCTCTTCGTTGATGGCGACGCCGTGTGTCGGTAATGCGAGAAGTTCTCTCGACTCCCGCTTGGCACGGTCCTCGTCCTGCATGCTCGAGCGAAAGGAAAAAGGATCTCGCTCCTTTTCCCCGTCCCGTTCAGTCTCGTCCCATCTCGACGTGGGGCGAGGCGACGCGACGCGCGGCCCGGACTTTTACGCGATTATCGAAGTGCGAGAAGTACTCGCCAGGGAGAAGAGAAAGAGAGAGAGGGGGAGGCGTATTAGAGTCCGAAGAAGATTTCTACGGTGAGAGAACTCGATACCTATCCCGGGAGGATGCAACTATCCGCGAGGTTGCTTCCGTATTTCCGGCGAAAGAAGTCGGAGCACGTCGCCGCGTATGTGTGTAAGCGGAATATTGCTACGTCGGCGGCGGCGGCCGGGAAATATGAGATTCGTCGACGGAAAATGTTGTCGACGCGCGCGGAGAGATGTAGGTGATGGGATCTGCGGCGCGCGTCTCGAAGCGAAGAAGAACCTTATAAAACTCCGAACTCGGTTACTATGAATGGAATGCGGACGGATCGCGCGCAATATATACTTAACGTTCGAGATTATTTGACGTAGAACGCGTTGGTGAATTTCTTCGGGCAGCGGCGAAATTTAATAACCCGGAAAGAGAGCGCGCGCGAGAGAGAGAGAGAGAAAGAGGAAGGATGCAATCCGCGACTATCGGCGAAATTCCCTCGGCTTTTTTTTTTTTTGGCAAAAACAGAAAAAGTCAGAGTGCGCGCAGTTCTGCGTGAGCGTGCTCGCGTAGGTGGAATATTGCTGGCGTTTGTGGAATATGAGATTCGTCGATGGGAAATGTGCGATGGGGCCTACGGGGAGCATAAAGAACCGTATAAAATTCGAAACTCCGTTGATATCAGTGGAATCTGCGAGTGTACGAGTAGCATTCTAGCGATGCAGCTTCTTCTTGCCGCCTGTGCTACTTATATCTTCGAGTGAATTTCTCTCTCTCTCTCTCTCTCTCGATCGTGGCGAAAAATCTCACCTCAGGAAGGAATATCTAAGCGTGTCCGACGTATTAAAGATTATAAAGCGCGCATCTCAAGCACAGCATCGTCGACTTGCTGTTAACGGAAAGAAAGAAAAATAAAAATAATTCTACGATATACGATTTGCCGGGTGGCGATTTGCGGCTTGACGATGTTCCGAGAATAGGAATCGCACAGACGGTCTATTTACGGACTTTACGCCACGTTCGTTAATTTCTAATCGTTATCACCATGAAAAGAGCGAGAGAGATCACGTGTGTGAACGAGAGAGTGGGGGAAAGGGGGGGGGGAGTAGAAATGAAAGAGTGCGACACGTTCTTGAGAAGAAAGAACAAGACCACCCAACGATCACGTGGCCGGTCGGATATTTATGTTACGATGTGAGGCGTGTAGTAGCCACGCATGTTGACGAGCTCGCTTTTTGCCGGCCCCGCTAATGCGCTCGCTTTTACTGCACCCACTCCCGCCGCTGTCCGCGGCTTTATCGCGGCCCGCCGATGCATGGCGCGAATGTGCTGATGACCGGGATCGCAGCGTCGAATGGCGCGCCGTTGGCATCGCCCACAACGGCGATACATCGATTTCTTCCTGATGTATGCAGGGCACGCGGATTGCCAATGGAGATGGCCGGTCGTATTACCCTACGTTCGATGAAGCTGGCGAGGTTCTTCGTGAATTTCACGAATTCGACGTGACTCGAGATCTCGAGGAACTTTTTAATTTATGATTAATAATTGTTCCGTTGCATTCCATTTAATCGAATATGAGTATTTGTGAAATTTTTTTAAATTTTTAACTACATATTTAAAAATTTTGTGTTGAAAATGGCCCGCTGAAATTTTGTGTTATTTTAACACGGGGAATGTGTTAAAAAGTGCACAAATATAATGTTAAATTAACACATTCCTCTTGTTAACCTTTTAAGGCTCGCATATCGATTTCACTGGAATAAATTATAATTTATTCGAAGGTTTTTTGATGTCGTAGGACGTATAATTGTCTAAAAACATCTTTATAACGTCTTATTTTGTGAAGGGCATCTTTGTTCTAGTTTGTATAGGACATCTTTAGGGCGTCCTATTTTAAGTTGGGACGTCTTAAGAGCGTCCTAATTTATTTGTTTTACGACGTCTTATTTTGTGAAGGGCATCTTTAGGGCGTTCTAATTTGGTCTTTGACGTCATTAGGACGTCCTAACTTAGTTTAGGATGTCCTAATTTATTTGTTTTGCGACGTCTTAAAGACGTCCTAATTTTTTTTATTTGCGACGTTTTTAGGACGTCCTAATTTTTTGTTTTGCGACGTCTTTAAGACGTTCTAATTTCTGTTGGGAATCTGTTAGATTCAAATATTTTTATTTTCCCATGTAATAATTTTTAATTTAAAGTTGTTAATTTATTATATAAACCCCTCTATATTATTTTTGTATAGAAAGTATAAGATTTAATTTGTATACAGAAGCTTGTTTGACAGACAGTTTTATACAATATTTTGCAATATATTTAACGTGCAAATTTTTTTATAGTTAGAACAACATGTGTTTATAAAATTAGAAACCGAAGTATTAATCATTCTCACTTGACATTAACCTCTTGACTTTATTATTTTTCTTGATATAATACAAGATTAAATTGTTGTAGCTCAGAATGAATATTATATTATAATAATATTTTTTTACCTTTCTTTTGAAAATTACCCAATACCCTTTTGAAAAGGGTAACTTTTTATAATTATATTGACGGAACCATTACTTTACAACAGATGAAATTTATAGAAAGCCCAAAGTTAATGTACATTATTATGTATATTGAGGCTTAAAGGGTTAAAGTAGCAAAATTTTAATGAACAATTTTTGATATACATTTTTTACTGTGTAGTAATTAAACATTTTTTCGTGGCATCCAACTTATTCGAACATAATTTTTTGTGACATTCTATTTAACTAAATATTCTTCTCGTGACCAATTCAAATTAATTGAATGTAAGTTCTACAATACATTATATTCCGGGGAAAAATCGCGTACACGGAAATAGAACTGGTTCTAGACGTATTTGCCAAATAGCCGTAACTGCTTTTTTTTCAGGAGTAGGAGAAGGAAAGGGGGCAGGCTTAGTTTAAACGAGATTTTTTCGGCTAAAAGAGGGATTTCGTTGAAAAGTTTCGCCCGTGGAAGGCGCTCAGACTTTTGATGGCCGTTTAGGACTGCTCGAAAAAGGCACGCACGCGTGGATCGTTCTTTCAAAGTTCACCGAGCGTCGTCGATTTCGAAATTTTATCGCTACTCGCGAATGTAGCGACGGGGCGAGTGAATGCGAACAGGCGAATCGCACGAGAAGTCGCATTTTTAACAACGGCAGACGGTAAATTCGAGCAACGGGCAACGAGCGTGTGCGAACGAAATGCGAGTTTGCATAATTCTTGTAAATACGATTAGATACATCGTCGTGACGCAGTATCTCGCGCGATGAATAATATTCCCGCGAGCTGCCAGTTGCGAGATGAATTTGCGCTCCTAATTGACCGCGTTCGTTAGGGAATTCATTATGACGGTCGGCCCACGAGGTATAATGCGAATAGCTGTACATCAAAGTCGGGGAAAGTTCGCAGAGTAGAACGAGCGAACGAGCAAGCGAGAGAGAGAGAGAGAGAGAGAGAGAGAGAGATAGTTCACGGGGCATGAAGTCGACGAAACATTTCCGTAGTTTGGCGAGAGAGGATACCCTCCCGAACAGTCTTTCTGTCTCACGCTGAGTGCGCCGTGACACATCAGTTACAACACGCCGCGCGAACTTAATTAATTCGGGTGTCGTCAAAGGGGAGCGTTTGGGATACATTCATGGCGGCTAATTCGCGCGGCAAATTTCAACGACGAATCATCCGTGAGACGGCCGGGCATAATCGCGAGCAGAGTGCGCGCTCCAAATCTGTCTCCTTGGCGCCTGCGAATTCTTCCTCGTCGATTTGCAGTCGATCCTTCTCTACGTAAAAGCTGTCCCGTAATTCTCGAGCTCTTCAGAGCTCAGAGTCACTCGGAAAGGCGTACTCTTTCATAAATGACACACTCGCGCAAAATTAATTTTTGCCCGATAGACGGTAAAGCGCCTTTGTTCCTTTGGATTCCTTCGCTTTGACGAGTAATTCAACATTAACCGGCGATATCTTCCTAATACCCAATTATAATTGCATCTCCATAAAAACATAATCATATTCTCGAGAAAGTCCAAAGGGTAACTTATCTTTCAGCTGACACAAAATCTCTCTCCTTCTCTCTCTTTCGTTCTCTCGTGCCTTTCTCTCTCTCTCGTGTTATAAAACTTACCGTAACTTCGAGGTGATTTAAATCACTGACAAAGAAACTTGCGCATTTAAGGATTAAGAACCGTCTGAGCGGGAATATTGTGACTAGCACTGTATACCCGGAGAAACTTCTCTAATTTCGTTTTCTTTGTTTCCAGGGATCTTTGACTCGCGCCGGCCGTCGGGTAAGTCTCCAAACATTCTTCTCTAGTCGATTCGCGTTTGAAATAACTCTGCGTCCTCATAGGAAGCGCGCTCTGCGCACGAATCCCTCCAGGCCTCGTTTAATAAAACCACAAGCTCTCGGCTACACGATGACCGAGTTTATGCAATGCGAAAAACCACGAACAAAGAGCGTTGCGAGTTTAGCCTGTATTTCGATACACGTTTCCGATGTATATATTTCCCCTTTACAACATTCAGAAATTTAATTTCGCAAACAATAATCAAAGGGACCGCTCTTCGCACGTCGAATATTATTCAGCGGGTAAAAATATTTCACGCTTGCAAAGTCATCACGCTGAATTTCGCCGTGTCCGCCCTCTTTTTATTTATTTATCTATTTATTTTTACTCTTTTTGCCCCTTTTCCCGCACACATCGGTCCAGATTGCCGATAAGCTCCACGATTCGCGCGCGCTCGTAGCAATAACTGAAATTAGCGAGCGAACCCTATATCTGTCAGAACATGATGTACGAGGCGTGCGTGCGTGGGTGCATACGCAATCGATCGGCGGCGTGTGCAGGTCGAGATGCTCCTCGACAGATCCTCTCTCGGAGGACGAGTGCCGTCGCGCGGTTGAAAGGACCGCGTCGAGCTGAAGTGACAGACCGATCATTCGGTAACGGGATTTCGCCAGAACTCCGCGCGATCCATATCGCGGACGGTTATAATTCGATCGACGCGAGCAGATCTCGATAGCGGCGGATTCGAAGGAAACGGTTATGGTCGATTTAAAGTTTCTCTCTCACTCTTCTCCTTCTTCTACGCTTCGCGCGATTCCATCGGCTAGCTGACAGTTCGAACTATCTTTTTTTTTCCTTTTTTTTTGTTTTTAAGCGTACGAGTAAAAAGAAGGTAGGCCGACGAAATTTTTGGCAATTAGTTCGATCGCGAGCGGTTCATCGAGGCTGTTCGGCCTGGAGTTTAATTAATTGCCAAATGCGGGGACGAGCGTTGCTAGAATTTTCAGAGATAGACCGCGCCGCACTTCTATTTTCCCCCCGGTTTCTCCAGCGATTGGTCGCTCTCGAGAAATATTTGCGGAACAGTGATACACTGTTGCTTAGAATGTGTCGTGTTATCGTGTTTCATTAACGCTCATTTAGAGTGTTAGTGAGTCGAGAAAAAATTTGTTTCTCGTCAAGCGTTCCGTCGAGGTTGCATTTACGGCATTGCGCGGGTATATTTATTTCTCCGTCATGCATTGATCACTGTGGGATTTTTTCCAATGAACTTATGTAACGGTGAACCTTCGGAAAGCCCGATATGAATGATCGTTCAGACATGACTTTGTTCCTGGTTGTACGGGGTCTGGTGGGATGTTGAATTACGGCTTTGCGTGTCTCGTGCGACGTGGCGATTATTAAAGTAGGCCATCGGCGTGATCGACCCGACGAGTTTACGCCGCAGCTTGGCTTTTTACGATTTGTACACGTATATCGCGCGACTCGACACTCCTCTCGCACGCAGTCGATAGTCGTGTGGCGTCATTTAATACTAGAAGTACCGAACGGTCATTTCTGACTGTTTCGATTTTTTAATATTTTATTTCTTGTGTAAAAGGTAGGATTCTGAAATTTTATGATTTTTCATTCAGCCATAAAATTACATAATCCTATTTTTTACATAAGAAATAGGATATCGATCTAAAAAATAGAAACGGTCAGAAATGACCACTCAGTACTTCCAGTGTTAAATGTGATATTTTAACATCTTCTGTAGAAATCAAGAAACACGTCTCGTGGGATATTCGGTAGCTCTTTCGTAACTGTCTAATGAATTGATAATTCGACGATAGAATAATCATATAATTTTCACGATTAATTTTCAATATATTATATTAATCACACATCGTTAAATTAATTGCAATATTCGTATATTCGCGTTCAGTGCGTGTTTGAAATTCGTCTGTCGAAAATCATTTGTACCGATGACTCTTTAGAAATGCATTATAATTAGTTGTGCAAACGCGCGCCGGTCAAAGGTAAAATAGCTTCCTGCCTAAAGTTTAAACTGTGAAAACGGCCGTTGCGAAAGGGTTAATACGGCGTATAGGTGGACGATGGGTTCATACGTAGACGGGGGGTAATTGCTAATGCTTGGAGAAGCTAGTTGCCCAACACCTGACATTATCCTTCGTTAAGGCCCAACGACTCTTCGTAGAAAAGATAGAGAGCGAGTGTTGCGCGAGATAATGCCTCTCGGTACGGTATAATTATAAGCAATAGCCCCCTCGAGGATTAACACTCGCTCAAGGCTTTAAAGTTCCAACAAGAAAATTTTGTGCCTGTTCATATTCGCATATGTGGCTTTTCGGCAAACACAAAACATATCCCGAAAACGCATTATCGTAAATTCTTTCAAAATGAGCTTTAAAAATACATGAGTCTATATTAACACGTTAACTGCCAATTTATCGCCTCGGTGATACATTTAACGGTGTAAAGTAGAAAAAAGCAATATATATAGTAACAATATTAAGTAAAATGGTATTTAAAACTCTTAGAGAGATGTTCAATCGAATGAAATAAAGTAAGATAATGAGAACCTCTGCAAGATTGTTAGATTTGTGTAATAAAAATATTTCTAATATAATATCTGTAAAATATTTAATAACATAAAATAATAAAAATATTTTTGATTTCTATTTAACAAATATTACTTTGATTTGCGATTTTTCGAGAAAAATAAATTTCTTGACGTATTTATTTGACTAGACAAATTTCGCTTTAAGATTTGAGCTGGACAGCTAACACGTTAAGCATTTTTCTCGTGAAAATTTGTGAGATTATAAAAAATATTTTCTTCTTTTATTTAACGTCCTATTTAAGAGCCTCGTTTCGACGAATATCCCGGCCGACTACCACGTGACGCGCCAAATTGATAATCGGCACTCACATTTATCCGGTGGTCGAGCTCGACCACCGTTACATCCTTCGCCGGTCCGTAGAAGCTGTCCTCGGCAATCATTTTATCGCCGTCAGATTTTCCTCGCGCCATAACAGTTCGATAAATCGAGTCCGCGGACCGTTGGGAATTGTTTTATCGCCTCCCCTTATGTACCCTCTGCGTTTCCCCTTCGTCCAAGAATCTTCATTCATCCCGCGGAAATGGAGATGCATTTCGCAGGCACGAGATTAAGGACGAGATACGTGAGTAGAAAGAAGGAGAGAAAGAGAGAGAGAGAGCAAAAGTTTTCTGATACTTCCTGGCGAACGACCGCGATGAATTTCACCGCCGTTGTCAAAATAGGGGCTGCAACGAGGAAGAAGAATGGGGGAGGGGGGCGGACCGAAGGGAGCAAAGGACAGTAAGGGTAGGGAGGGAATGGGAAGGGGTCACCAGGGACCAGGATGCCGCGGTACGTACAGGAACAACCCCTCGGTCGGCCAGGATGCCGTGCAGAATCCCTCGCCGTCGCTATAACCCTCGACGTCGATGGATGCCCGTAAATCGCTGACCTTTTCCCCCGAATATCGTCTCTCTTGTCCTCTTCTCTCTCCCTCTCTCTCTCTCTTCCCTTCCACCACCTCTGCCGCCATTGTCGGGCATTTGCTGCAATTTTCTTGAGAAATTCCCGTGCTACCACTCCGCTTTTTCCTCGCACATCGCGGCCCTCGAGGCGCGACGATTTATCGATACGCGTCGGTGAACCTGTCGATGCTCGGGACGGTACATCGTGCTTATTATTATGGATTCTCGGACGATTCGCATAGTGGTATTATACAGGAGTAATCTTTTCTTCGCGGAGTACCGCGGCAAGAGTGTGCGAAAGAATAACTGTGGAAGCGGAACGGCGCGATTGATAGACGAAGCTCTCTCTCTCTCTCTCTCTCCCCCCCCCCCTTCTCTCTCCGCAGGATACTTGCAGAATATCCGTTATTATGGAACACCGTGAGATATATCGCAGCGGTGGTCGTAAATTCGACGCTGCATCGAGAGGAAGGAATTGAGTCTCGCTTGACGTCCATAAATCCGCGAAGAGAGAGAGACTTCTTCTAAATTATAATATTTCTATTATCGTTACGTATATTACGGCGAGATGAATCGTTATCCCGAAATAGAGATATCTTCGTGACGGAAATACGATGGAGTTTCGCGTCGGCTCCAGCCGACGAAAGGTCCGAAACTTTTTCCCGTCCTTTTTCCTCCGCCGAATGCTCCGTGTTCAACTTTTCCCAAACGGCAACGTAACACGTTTTCCGAATGTAACACGACAAGAGTTATGAAAGTTCCGGCCGTAAAAGCGCCGTTAGGCATCGTTCGCGCACGGCTCGCGCACGGTTCATCGACTTTCACGACTGATCACTCTCTTTGCTGCTCTGGATGCTCCGGCGAATCAATATCCATCCACGGTTTCCCGTCCCGCTCACCGGCCTCTTTCCACTCTTTCCGGTCTGCACCGATGGATAGGCACATGTCCAGCGCACGCGTACAACCTTCGCGCACAACTTTACGACGCCAAGTATTCTCGCGATATTTTCGCGATATATTTTTATCGGATAATTAATAAAAATTCACAAAATTTCCCCGTCGACTTTCACCCCCTAAACAGGGATTTATTTTGTTGCCGGCGTCCAGCGGTTCGTATCTCAAAATGTCGGGGTATTAAAATTTCCCGCTGAGCTCTTCTCTCTCCTTTCGTGTTGTAGAATTTTTTTCACACCTCCGTTCTTGGCCTCGTTTCTCCCGATACACTTCGCCCGGCCGCGAGCTCTCACGATAATATAACGCCATTATATAATAGATATTTCACGCCGTTTTATTGGACCGACTTCGCGCCTGCCTCTTCGATAAAATTGCCGATATATAATGGTGGGAGGAAAGGGGAGAGCGAAACAAATACCGGATGAAATAAAACGCGAGAAAGAAAAGAAGCATCACCGATACGACGACTCGTGCATGAGTACTGTATCGTGGGTGGTTGAAGGGGGTCGCCGGAGGACGGGAAGAGGGGAGAACG